CAACGTCACCTTTGGTGCAGAAACTTGTTCCTCTGTAAGCTGGACACAACGTGTCCCTTTACCCTCAGCTGAGCTATGGCTGAGGGAAAAGGAGGCTGTCCTCATGCAGATGTTCTGGGCTCCTGTAGGCCACACTGAGGGAAAAGGAGGCTGTCCTCATGCAGATGTTCTGGGCTCCTGTAGGGCCATGCCAGGCCAGAGAAGCGGACAGTCTCCATACCTAGTATTCTTGACCCCTGCTAGGAATAGGCAGGGTCTGGATGCCCAGTCTGGGCTAGCTTGGGTGGTGTGCTATATGGAAAAAAGGGAACCAGCCAGAGCTGGGCATCTGCTATCTGTAGGTCCCTCCTCCTGCCATGGATGCTTCAGGGGTCCACCCAGATCTATGCTGAGACCTAGAAATCTTAAGAAACCCTACAGGAGATTCACAGGAAAGACATACCCTACTCCAGGCCCAGCCATCTTTTTAATACTAAAAAGAATTAGTATATATTTATTTATGTCTCTGTGCACATGGTTGCAGGTGCCTGCAGATGCACCCAGGCACTGTAGTTATAGACAGTTGTGAGTTGCCCAATGTGGGTGCTGGGAACTGAACTCCAGTCCTCCAGAAGAGCAGGCAGCAAGCACCCTTAACTGCTCCAGCCCCGGAGGCTGCCTGCACTCAGTGACAGAAAAACAAACGGCTTTCCAGGATTCATTGCTCCAGCAGCCATGCTGCTCTCACACTGCAGGGAGCCTACAGTGGCCCTCTTGCAAACCCTGCCATCTCCATCCACGTGCACAGGTGCTGTTCCCAAGAGCATGATCCCGGTGGATAAATACCCATCTCAGCACATAGGGGATCTCAAGATTCCCCAGACACAGCCCACCCTGACCTCCTGAGTGAGGGCATGAGGACAGTGTGAGCAGAGGAGTGGCCTGTATCCAGTCTCTCCAGTCCCAGTACCTTCTGCCTGCCCTATTGTCCTATGCTTTGGGTGGAAGAGACTAGTACTCAAAATCCCACCCCTGGCTTCTCTCATAATTTCATGGGCTACACAGAACAGGAAGTTGGTTGCAATTCCTTAACACTCTGGGAGCTGGTGAACACATGTCAGGTGACAGGCATCTACACTACACTACCTGGGTAGTGTAGTACTCTACCCAGCACCTGTGTGGATAGAATCCCTGAGCAGTAAGTGGACTCTCAGCAGCTGCTTCTTGAACCTTCAGCTTAGCTTCCAGGCCCTACACACAGAGAAGATGTAGGGATGCACCCAGGACCCTGGTTATTTGGGGGAAAAGGCTAGGCCAGGCTAGCCAAAGGCCTGAAGTCCCCAGCTACTTCTGAGACAACTCCCTCCCCATGGTCCTGGATTTGGCAAGGGGGGGGGGTGTCTTATCTATAAGCTCCTGGCAGACTTGACAGTATACCTCCCCATGGTGTGCCTACTAGCTGCCCTTTCTGCCCAAGGAACACTCAAGGTTCTGTCCCACCCCCACTATAGAGAGCCACTGTGGCCTGTCAGGATGTCAGCCACTCTGCTGAGAAGCTGCTGGAAGGGCGCAAGTTCCCAAAACGAGGAGCCAGCTGGCTCCAACCCAGCTCCTGCTTTATCCATGTTAGAAAGGAGACTGAGCCAGTGTGTTGAGCCCCTGAGACAATGAAACTGAAGCCTGGCATCATTAGCCTATAGAGCTAGCAAGGACTGGCAGCCCATACATCCCTGCTACAAGCAACTCCAATCTTCCCACCACCTGTAGAGAATCAGAACAGCTCACATCAGTGCTAGCCCCAGCCTTGAGCCCTTTCAAAGAGTCTCCCAATGGCATCTTTGCCACCAACCAGCAGTAAGATACACTGGGAACAGAAGAAGTCTCAGGCACCTTCCTCTTGGACATTCCCTTACTCCTGGCCAGCCTGCTGGCAAAACACAGCAAGGAAACACAAACCCACACTTCCAGCCAGTAGTGGGAGTTTCACACCACAAACCAGGAAGTGGGGAGGAGGGGGCAGACATTGCGCAATGCAATCCCACAGTCAGGCCAGAACATCTGGAGAATAGGATGCTGGCAACCACTCCCATCTCCTCCTCAGGCAGAAGCCAGGCTGGCCACCAAACAGAGGAGCTTCTCATTCACCCAAAGATAGGGACGAGATAGTTCTCTAGGAGTCTTCAAAATGCCCTCTTCTTCTCCCTCCTATCGGGACAAGAACCCAACGGGGGGTCTCAGTTTCCCTCCTAGATTCGGAAGGGGCATTATTCCCACAGGAAGGGAGAGTCATTGTTTGGACGGAATGGCTGTAGGGGATAAGGAGGAAGGGGGTGGGAGCCACATCCAGGCCAATCTCATTAGTTCAAATTTACAACATATTGCCCCTACCCCACCCCCGGAAACGGCACAGAGTGCCACAAACAGCTGGATGACTTCCAACAGGCAGCAGGCAGGCAGAGAGGCTGCCCCTCCCTCCCCAGGAAGTCCTGGTTGAGGCCCATGAGAGGGGATGGCTGAGTCCCAGCCTGAGCTGGCCAGAGGAGAGCATTTGGGGACCAGAATCCTGATGCATAGCCTAGCCTTGGGCTAAGTGCCTTGCTCATCTGCTGGTCACAGACATGTGGCCTGTCCCTCTGTCCTGTCTAGCATCTCCCATCCCACACCCAAGTTGCTCTTCCATGCTAGGGTCAAGGAATTCAAACACAGCTCTGACAAACCCTCAAGGGTTTTGGCAAGCAGGGGCAGAGTGTGAATGGGGAAGGTAGGATTGTGTCTGCCAAGAAACCCTTCAGACCCAGATTCCCCCCTCCCCAGATAGTAGAAGAGGGTGAGACAGTGGCTGTGCTGGGTGTGGGGGCTGCCACGGAGCTGATGCAGCAAGTTAGATCATGGAGCACCTTACTCTGTCTCAAAGACCTCCCTTCCCTTGACCATTCCTTCCTCTGGGCCAGTCATTTTCCACTGGAGGCTCAAGTGTCCTCCAGTGGTGCACAGTCTCATTTGAGAGGCAACAGATAGGGTGGGTAGCAGGCCTAGGTCCTGGAGAGGCAATCATTAGAGGTGCCGGGCAACTGTTTGGGGGATTTTTTTAACTTTGTTATTTAAATTAGAAACAATCTTATTTTACATATCAATCCCAGTTCCCTCTCCCTCCCATCCTCCCCTGTCCCCCACCGACTCCCCCCCCCCCCCCACCCCCCCCCCCCCGC